CCTCCACCTAGCGGCGCCGGCACACCGGGTTCCAGTCCCAGTCGGGGCGCCGGATTCTGTCCCGGTTGCCCCTCTTCCAGGCCAGCTCTCTGCTGTGGCCTGGGAAGGCAGTGGAGGATGGCCCAAGTGCTTGGGCCCTGCACCCCATGGGAGACCAGGAAAAGCACCTGGCTCCCGCGTTCGGATCTGTGCGGTGCTCCGGCCGCAGCGCACCAGCCGCGGCGGCCATTGGAGGGTGAACCAACGGCAAAGGAAGACCTTTCCCTCTGTTTCTCTCTCTCACTGTCCACTCTGCTTGTCAAAAAAATTAAAATAAATAACTCTGCCTTTCAAATAAATAAATAAATCTTAAAAGAAAAATGATGACTTTACAGGGGAATAGATTATAACTAATTAGCTTCAACTTTTTTCTGACTCATGAAAAGTATGAACTTCTAGTGCTGATAAGGTACATCTTTATCCATGAAAAAAAAAATCTGAGCCGGCGCCGCGGCTCACTAGCCTAATCCTCCACCTAGCGGCGCCGGCACACCAGGTTCTAGTCCCAGTTGGGGTGCCGGATTCTTTCCCAGTTGCCCCTCTTCCAGGCCAGCTCTCTGCTGTGGCCAGGGAAGGCAGTGGAGGATTGCCCAATGCTTGGGCCCTGCACCCCATGGGAGACCAGGAGAAGCACCTGGCTCCTGCCATCGGATCAGCGCGGTGCGCCGGCCGCAGTGCGCCAGCCGTGGCGGCCATTGGAGGGTGAACCAACAGCAAAAGGAAGACCTTTCTCTCTGTCTCTCTCTCTCACTATCCACTCTGCCTGTTAAAAAAAAAAAAAAATCTGAGCAGCCATATGTTTTCTTCGATATGCAAAATTTCAAAGAAATTATACAATGAGTGTGGGTTACTTTTATAATCAGAAAAAAAAAGTAGAAAATGGGAGTATGCATGATTTATTTCTCACTAAAGCTTTGCATGATTTATTTCTCACTAAAGCTTTCAAGGGTATTACTAGTATACTTTGCTCTGCTCCAGTAAAGTACTGCTAATCCTACATTTCCAAAATACACAATATGATATATGAACACTGCTAGGACACAGAGACACGGAACATTAAGGATAAATCAGAGAAACTGATCAAGAACTGTATGTTCATTTTACTTTCTAAAAGTATCACAAGCCAGTGATCCAGTTTGGTTGTCATGAGGTCCAGGGTTCTATCCAGAGAACACAATCAGATAGGTACGCTTAGTGACTCAATCACAATAATCAAGAGTCTAGGGGCTGGCGCTGTGGCGCAGTGGGTAAAGCCACCACCTGCAGTGCCAGCATCCGTATGGCCACCGGTTCAAGTCCCAGTTGCTCCTCATCCTATCCAGCTCTCTGCTTTGGCCTGGGAAAGCAGTAGAAGATGGCCCAAATCCTTGGGCCTCTGCACCCACGTGGGAAGACCCAGAAGAAGCTCCTGGCTCCTAGCTTCAGATTGGCTCAGCTCTGGCCATTGCGGCCATTTGGGGAGTGAACCAGCAGATGGATGATGTTTTCTCTGTCTCTTACTCTCTGCCTCTGCCTCTCTGTAACTGTGACTTTTAAATAAATTTAAAAAAAGAGTCTAACCTTAGAGGTCAAAATATTCCAATACAATAAAAAGAAAACAAAAAAAAACTATCCCAGCCAGCGCCGCGGCTCACTAGGCTAATCCTCCGCCTTGCGGCGCCGGCACACCGGGTTCTAGTCCCGGTCAGGGCGCCGGATTCTGTCCCGGTTGCCCCTCTTCCAGGCCAGCTCTCTGCTGTGGCCAGGGAGTGCAGTGGAGGATGACCCAGGTGCTTGGGCCCTGCACCCCATGGCAGACCAGGAGAAGCACCTGGCTCCTGGCTCCTGCCATCGGATCAGCGCGGTGCGCCGGCCGCAGCGCGCCGGCCCCGCGGCCGCCATTTGGAGGGAACCAACGGCAAAGGAAGACCTTTCTCTCTGTCTCTCTCTCTCACTGTCCACTCTGCCTGTCAAAATAAATAAATAAATAAATAATTAAAAAAATTAAAAAAAAAACTATCCCAGACCCTCTTCATTACCAGCACAGTAGGATTTTTTTAAAGATTTATTTATTCATTTAAGAGGCAGAATTACTGACAGAGAGAGGGAGAAACAGCAAGAACTTCCATCCACTGGTTCACTCTCCAAATGGCTGCAATAACCAGGACTGGGCCAGGCCAAAGCCAGGAGCCAGAAGATTCTTCCAGTCGCCCACACTGGTGCAGGGGCCCAAGCACTTGAGTCATCTTCCACTGCTTTTGCAGAGTAGGATTTTTAATAAGGCACCCAACTCCCTTTCTCGGAGAGATATAAACTGTCTGGATCAAAGCACCTTACTCACTACTACCAGTCCTCCAACTAGTGCCACTTTTGTCCTATGTTTCTAACTAAAGTCAGTATTCTGATTGCCACAGCCAAGTTGTGAGTCTTTTATTAAAACTCTGTTTTAGAAGCCAGCATTGCAGCATAGTGAGTAAAGCCACCAGCTGAGACTCCAGGATCACACACGGGTGCTGGTTCCCAGCTGCTCCACTTCCTATCTAGCTCCCTGATAATGGCCTGGGAAAAAGCAGCGGAGGATGGCCCCAATGCTTGGGCCCCTGCCCACCCACGTGGATGAGCCAGGTAAGTCTCCTGGCTCCTAGCTTTGTCCTGGCCCACTCCTGGCCATTGTGGCCACCTGGGGAGTAAGCTAGCAGATGGAAGATATCTCTTTCTGTCTCTTTCAAAAATAAATAATTAAATCATTAAAAAAAAAAAAAAAAAAAAACTCTGTTTTAAAATTCCATGAAAAAAATAATTTGTTTCCAGATCAGGATCAAGAGCATTATCTGGGAACTAATGAAAAATGAAAATTCTAAGGGTGGATGCCACTGAGGTTTTAATAAGCCTTCCATTTTATTTTGAGATACTCTAAAGTTTGAGCACCACAAATCTGGAGCACACCATCACTAGTTTAGCTCAATTTCCCAAAAAATTTTTTAAAAACTTGACTGGTGGGGTCAGCGTCATGGCCTGGCAGAGTTAAGCAGCCACTCGCAACACCGGCATCCCATATGGGCACCAGATCCAGTCCCAGACCCAGATCCTCCACTTCCAATCCAGCTCCCTGCTAACGTGCCTGGGAAAGCAATGGACAGCCCAAGTGCTTGGGTCCCTGCACCTCAATGGGAGATCCAGATGAGCTCCTGGCTCCTGGCTTCCACAGGGCCCAGCCCTGGCCATTGCGGCCATTTGGGGAATGAAGGCAATGTATGGAAATTCTCTCTCTCTCTGTAACTCTGCCATTCAAATAAATTAAAAAAAAAAAAAAACTCAATTTGATTTGCAAACTGTTTTCTAATTCCAAATATACACTAAGAGTTGCTTAGATCATCTTCAATATCACTTTTATCCATTGTTTGTATGCTTCATTGATGATTTTACACAAAATGCAAAAATCTGACAAACTAGAAGATTCAACAAACCTAAACAAAAAGTGTCTACAGAATCTCCTCCTCAATAATTTGAAATAATTAGGCTCACAATAAATATGTACATAATTAGTAAATACTCTTAGCTACAAAATCTTTTAATTTCATTTCAAAACTAGCTCCTAGAAAAAGCAGTAAGTTGAAGTTAGTTAAAATGTCAAGCTTTCACCCTTCAAAAGAAATTTTAGAGAATGAAAAAGTAAGCCACAGACTGGAGAAAAGGCTTGCAAAAACATACATTCAACAGAGACTGTATAAGGAACTCTAACAACTCAGTGAGATGAGCCCAACTTCAACATCAGCAAAAGATCTGGATACTTCACAGAAGATATGAGTAGTCAAGAGGCACGTGAAAAGACGCTCAACATCAAACCACGTAAAGATCTTACTCCACATCTATCGCAATGGCTACAACTAATACGACTGACCACACCAAGTGTCCTGGACCACGCGAACAAATAAAATGCACTGATGGCAGCAACGGAAAATGGTACTGCCTCGGAAGAGAAGCAGGAGTTTCTCAGAAAACTATCCGTACACCTATACCTGATCCAGCCATTCCTCTCCTAGAGATTTCCACCCAAATAACTGTGCACGAATGTTCACGGCAAGTCTATCTGTAATAGCTAAAAACTGGAAACAACCCTAAAGACCATCAACAGAAGAACAGAAAGCAAAGTACAGAGTATCCCTAACAAAAGGAATACCACTTAGCAACGAAAAGAAATGAGTTATCAATCCACGCAACAACCTGAAGGAGTCTCTAAACAGCACAGCTGAGAAAAACAGGCCAGACACGCACACCCCAACTATATGCTCCCATACAGTATTTCTAGAATTTAAAAAACTCTAGAAAATGCAAACTAATCTATAGAAAGTAGATGGCTGGTTGCCTAAGAAGGAAGGGATTACCAAGAAACAAGGGGAAACTTTGAGGGGCCATGGTTTCATAGGTGTCTCCTAGAATGTATACGTGCGTATAGTCTCAATTTATCAAACTGTACACTTTAAAGCTTATTATATTTCAAACTCAATAGAGATGAAAAACCCACAATAAAAGTCACTTAACAAAAAACCTCCGTCTTCTCAGCCTCGGTGTCGGTCCGTTTTCCCCACTGGGCGCTACATGCCCTCCTCCTCCTTATCCTTTCTCCCTCCCTAACCCGCCCTGTCTCCTTCCAACGGGAGGGCTGAACCCTAGAAGATTCACAAACTTGTAAGCTTCCAAGTACTGTCTACAGTGTCCTGGGTCCTCCACTCCTGCCGCACAAACCATCCCGTCCGCAACACTTAGCCTTGCAGGCGCAGTGACAAGTAACCCCCATCGACCGACCCACCCCCTCCCGTCCGCGGTCCCAAACACTCATCCACGAAGCTTCTCTCGACCCGGCACATCGGGGTCCTGAAATATCACTGACAGACCCGGGACCACCGAAAGCTGGGCTCCCCGGGCGGCCCACCCCCTGCCCGTGTGGGTGCGGGACCTGGAACACCTCCTGCCCGGGTTACCTGCAACCGGCTGGCCGCGCCGAGGACAGTTCAGCCACCGCGGTGGGATCTTGTTTTGAGCCATGTCTTGGGGCCGCGCAGAGCCGCTCGGCTTCACCAACACTCGCCGCGCCTCTGCCGTCGCCTCCTCGAGGTCTGGTGCCCACCAGAGGTCCGCGGCACCCGAACACCGCCTGGGATCCGAACGCCAGCCGCTCCTAGCCGGATAACATCAGGGGCGGCGCGCCACTTTCATTCAGGCTCAACTCCGCCGCTCTATCCGAACCCACAATGCACCGCGACTTCCGCCCCCTAAAGTCCCCGCCCCCTTCTTTCCGAGGTCAAAGGGGAAAGAAAGGAAAGTCGGCGGAGGGATGGCAAGGAGTGAAAGCCAAGGCGAATGGGTGGAGCGGGGCTACCTTCGCCCCGCCCCTCCGAGCTGCGAAGCGTGAGCAGACCGCCTCTGCGCGTGCGCAGTCATCCCGGTCCCGTACAGAGGTGAGGGACCTGTATAGTATTTTCTTTTCCCACGTAGATGACTAAAAACAATCCCACACACTAGAAGGACAGCAAGCTTTTTTTCATGATTTCATTGACCTGTCGCTTTCATAAAGGCATTAATTGTACTGATGAAAAAGGCCTCTCTCCACTGTCACAGCTCAAGTTTTGTGTCCCGCCCGGATCTGGGTTTGATGGGAAGATTCCCCTTAATGCGAATCAGAGGAACAAGTACCAGAGAAAGCTCTTGGCTCCTGGCTTCAGATGGCCCAGCTCCGGCCATTGTGGCCATTTAGGGAATGAACCAGCAGGTGGAACACCTCTCTCTGTGTCTCTTCCTCTGTCTGTAACTCTGCCTCTCAAGTAAATAAATACATCTTTAAAAAAAAAAAAAGAAAGAAAGAAAGAAAAAAGAATCAGTGGAGAATTTTCTGGGCAGCTTAGCTCTTCAATACCTGGACCACCTCAGTGGAAGAAGGATTCTCCCACAATTAAAGAGAACCCAGTGACTTTCTGAGGCTGGCTGAGTTAGATCACGCGCCTGGTCTGTCCAACTGAGATCGGCTCAGACTTTTTAGCAAAGGTATATCATTCCTCCCTGCTATAAGTCAAATATGATTTTATCTGCAAACTCATGCGAATTAGTTCCCAAAGTTATATGTGAATGATCTGAAAGGAATGGAAATGTAATGTGGTCAGGATACATAGAGGTAGGGTCTCATCTCTGGGAAGAGATTAGATTGTTTTAGGTAATTAAGGTGTAGCCTCTATGAATCCTGGTGGAAAAGACGGTGTAGAGCATGCAAGCTGCCCATTTATTGCCATGTAATATCCTGTGCCAACTCAGAATTCTGCAAAGAACACGGTCACCAGAGGCTGTACCAATGGGAGTTGCCTAGTCTTGAACTGTGAATCTTCAGGGCCATGATCCAAAATAAACCTCCTTTCTTTATAAAGCAGCCGGCCTCAGGTATTTCCTGTTGGTAGCCAAAACATGACAAATATGGGTCTCCCTTCTGGAGACAACTCCCCTGGGAAGCTTTCCTTCTCCCATACACTGTGTCCACCCGGGAAGCTCTTGCCTAGACAGAGAGCTGCAAACCACTTCTGAGCAGCTGCTATTGGCTCTGTTGTTGCAACAGTGTTTGCTCAATTTGTACTCCACTGTCCATTATCCCCTCTCCACCCTCACTATCACAGATTGGTAGGACACTGTGGCTCCCATTTGCCCAGCCACAGTGCAGAGTAGGGTGGGAGCATTGCATCCAAGTGAGTGAACAGTTTCTCTCTCCTTTGCCTGGTAGGTGTTTCTACCTATCTTGCTCCTACTCCCAGGTCTCTGCTATTCAGCAAAAAAATAGATGACCACTAAAATTTAAAAAAGAATGAAATGTCCATGTGTATCAATTTTACTGCAAATACAGTGTTTTGTTTTAAAACTTTGTTTTAAATCTTTGTCAAACAAATTGATGGGAATTATATGCTACTGCAGCTTTAATAATTTTGTGACTATTTTAAAATTATGAGTGGAGGGGTCAGCGCTGTGGTATGGCAGGTTAAAGCCCCAGACTGCAGCAACAGCATCCCATATGGGAGTCTGTTCAAGTCCCAGCTGCTCCACTTCAGATCCAGCTCCCTGCCAATGCACCTGGGAAAGCAGTGGAGGATGGCCCAAGTCCTTGGACCCCTGCACACACATGGGAGACCTGGAAGAAGCTCCTGGCTCCTGGCTTTGGATTAGCACAGTTCCAGCCATTGTGACCATTTGGGGAGTGACCCAGAGGATGGAAGACACCTCTCTCTCTCTGTCCCTACCTCTGTATAACTCTGTCTTTCAAATAAATAAAATAAATCTTTAAAAATTAAAATTAAAAAATTATGAGTGAAGTTGAGTATCTTTTCATTTGATTATTGTCTATAGCCTTTTCCTATTCTTCTGTTAGACTATGGTCTTTTTCTATGCCTTCCACTATAATGTAAATTAAAAATGTATCTCCAAAAATTAATAATAAAATATTAAGTTAAAAAATAGATGCCCACAGAGGAAGCAATAAGGCTTTCTAGGATCCCCAACTCAGCTTCCCAAATATGTCTTGGCCTCCTCTTTAAAAACAAGAAAAATGTATTATTTTGAAAGGCATAGTTACAAAGAGAAAGAGGAAAAGACAGGGAGAGAATGAGAGATCTTCCATCCGCTGGGTCACTCCCCAAATGAAAGCAACAGCTAGGGCAGGGCCAGGCTGAATCCAGGAGCCTGGAACTCCATCTAGGTCTCCCACCTGGGTGACAGGACCAAACAAAACACTTGAGCCATCCTCCACTGCCTTCTCAGGCACATTAGCAGGGACCTGAAATGGAAGTGGAGCAGCAGGGATTTGAACCAGTGCTCATAATGGACGTTGGCGTCGCAGGTGGCCCAACTTGCTGTGCCACAATGCCAGCCCTTGGGCTCCTCTTTGTTGCCTGTAGATTCTGTTTAGGATGAATTCTTCCTTCAGATGTCCACTTTTCCTGTAAGAAAGGCTTTGACAGGGGCTGGCGCTGTGGCACAGTGAGTTAACACCCTGGCCTGAAGTGCCAGCATCTCATATGGGCACCAGTTCAAGACCTGGCTGCTCCATTTCCAATCCAGCTCTCTGCTATGGCCTAGGAAAGCAGTAGAAGATGGCCCAAGTCCTTGTGCCCCTGCACTTGCATGGGAGACCTGGAAGAAGCTCCTGGCTCCTGGCTTCAGATTGGCCCATCTCTGGCCGTTGCAGCCAATTGGGAAGTGAACCATCGGGTGGAAGATTCTCTCCCTCTCTCTTTCTCTCTCTCTCTCTCTCTCTCTGTGTGTAACTGACTTTCAAATAAATAAATAAATATTTTAAAAAAATAAAAAGAAAGAAAGGCTTTCACAGATTGAATAAAACTAATATGGAACTTTGTCTATTGAAAAGGGGAAAGAGACCTTTTCCTCCCTCCCTTTTCTTAGAACATTCTGTGAGAACATTGGTATTGCGGGGAGCAACTGGGAGCAACTCGGACTAGACTAAGTTACTGGAATTAAGACTTATTCTATGCATCTGCTTTCCCACAATATGGCGCTGAGAAGGGAAACAGCTTCTACACAGCTGCCTCCAGTTCAACCAATAAACTGTGGGACCTGCTCCTGATTGGAGGAGAGCAGCGTACTCGGCGTGTGGGTAGCCGAGTTGGGATTGGTGGAAGAGGACTATAAAGGAGGAGAGAGACGGCATGCACCAGGAACATCTAAGGGGAACACCTAAGGGGAACACCTGTGCAGCCCCCGAGAGAGCCGGCCGGCGGTGTGCCGCTCCCCTGTGGAAGTGGGGAAAGTGGCCAGGGGGAACCGCCCTTCCACGGAGGTGGAAGGGACGGTAGCCAACCCGGGAAGAACCAGCAGCAAACCCGGGGAGGGCCGAGCAGACAAAAGAACAGCGCAGGGTCCTGTGTCGTTCCTCCACGAAGAGGGGGAGCAACATAATGGTGCCGTGACTCGGATATGAAGCCTAGGCAGGGCTTAGTGTCGTTCCTCCACGAAGAGGGGGAGCAACAGGTATTTGTAAATCCTTCATCTTCACTTTGATATGTATATAAATCTTTTTAAAAACTAAATGGGCCTCTTGCCTGCCTTTACAACTGTTTGTGTTAGCGCCAGGGGAGCTGTGTGTTTGAAATGTGGCACAGTGGGTGGAGCCGCCACCTGCAGTGTCGGCATCGCTTATGGGCAATGGTTCAAGTCCCAGCTGCTCCACTTTCAATCCAGCTCTTTGCTATGGCCTGGGAAAGCAGCAAAGGATGGCCTAAGTCCTTGGGACCCTACACCTATGTGAGAGACCAAAAAGAAGCTCCTGGCTCCTGGCTTCAGATCAGCGCAGCTCTGGCCATTGTGGCCATCTGGGGAGTGAACCCGGGATGGAATACCTCTCTCTCTCTCTGCCTCTGCCTCTGCCTAACTCTGCCTTTCAAATACATAAATAAATTTTTAAGAAAAAAAATCAATGAAGGTAGTGCCCCATCTCCTTGTCAATTTGGGAGTTGAGTTTAAGGCACCTAGTGCTGAGCTGTAACTGTCTGCTTGTGTTACAGACAGGGAAAGTATTATTTTCCCTTCAGATAATGGCGGTTACCCAGCACAGATAGCCACTCCAATTACCAAGTGAACCCAGGATGAATTATGAAAGAATGTATAGCAAACGGTTCTGCCAACTCCTCTTAAGTGAGAACAAATTACTGTTTATCTTACGGCCGTGTAGGCAATGGGCTGCATGTGCTCAGCCATGTAAGAGTGAGATTTTTTCCCTTGCAATCTCATGAACAGATTGCCTGTGAGGCACATTGCAATCTGATTTAATACATATTCAGTAATAAAACCCTTTTACTACTTTTCTACATTTGTGGACATGATTTTCTGGATTGGCAGGAGGTTTAATTCGGGGTGTTTCTATCTCACCTATTGAAAGCTCCCACAGAAATGTGCCCCCTCCGAGGCTGAACAGTGCTCTCTCAAGCCTTGCTATGGAGTTAGTCTCCTGCTACATCCATCTCCAAAAATGGTTAATCAAGAGCTGAGCACGTTTGCCTGCATTGTACCAGCTGTGGGGGATGGGAGACGTTCGGAAGGAGAATCGCCCTGGGTTAAGCCTGGAGCCAAGGAGGAACACTGGAACTATGGCTCACTCAGAGTTTTAAGTTCTAAACTCAGGATTTGGGGCAAAAGAAATTCAAAATGACCTTTCATTTTTAAAAAAGATTTATTTATTTATTTGAAAGGCAGAATTACATAGAGGCAGAAGCAGGGAGAG